TGGAATATAGTGCATGAATCGTATGGACCACTTTTATGGAACTTAAATTAATTTTGATGTCTTAGTCTTGACTCAATTTCATTAACTTGAAAAGAAAAGCCAGGATATTCATTTAAAAAAAATAGTAAACAATTAATTTTCATTTCTGGGTGAACTATTCCTTTAAAGTGATAACTGAACATCATATTGTGGTTATACACTATTCTAAAATATAAATGATACTATAGTAAAGAAAGACTAAAGAGGCAGGGTATTGTCTTGTAGGGCAGATGTCATTTAGAACAGTAAATTCCTGCAATCCAAGTTAAAACTTTCGCAGCATTTTACAATAATAAAATCCTGAGCGATAATGTTGGTTGATGTTTAACAAAATGGACTTATCAGCTTTCTAGTATGTGTGTTTTAGATAAAACTGCATGACACATTCAGGGTGAGAGACAGCACGCTGTGATAATCTACAGGTCACAGCCTCAACACGTGCACTCTGCTACTTACACTACAAATTATTTTACACCAAAATGCACAAACACAAATGACAAGGTTAAAGGTCCCATGGCATGAAAATTTCACTTTATGAGGTTTTTTAACATTAATATGAGTTCCCCTAGCCTGCCTATGGTCCCCCAGTGGCTAGAAATGGCGATAGGTGTAAACCGAGCCCTGGGTATCCTGCTTTGCCTTTGAGAAAATGAAAGCTCAGATGGCCCAATCTGGAATCTTCCCTTTATGTCGTCATACGGGGAAAGGTTACATATCGGAAATGTGTTTAAAAATCATATCACCGTTATTGAAAAAAATTATATCGCGATACATATTGATATTGAATTATTGTCCAGCCCTACTTAGGCCTATATAAAAGCATCCAAAAAGCAGCATGTCATGGGACCTTTAAGGCTTTGTATATTTCAATGCACAAATGCTTCACCGTCTTACATAATCAAATAGTGAAAATCAGCCAAATGAGGTGTAAATCCGAATGACTAATCTAGGTTGGGTGTGATGTCAAAACAATATACAAATCAAAATAATCAGGACAACTGATATGTGACGCAAAGGATTAAAAACCCTTCAAGAATTTCCAAGTGTCTGATGGTTTTATAGAAGTGGCCACATGCTAACCATGCTCATATTGCAAACCCATTATTGTTAGACTGACAAACCTCAAAACCATTTAACCTACCCAGCATGCTTTTTGGGCATCTGTTCTAGCCCCATATTGACTGGGATAAAAACTTCAGCTGCAAAGCCTTAACTTAAGGTCACTGATCATTTTCACCGTGTGTTTGGCAGTGCTGACCTATATAGCAAGAGGCCACGGTATGGAGGGCTGCTAGGAGTGGGGCCAGGGAAGGTCACTTCCTTCCCATTAAAAACTCATCAGTGTTTGTCAAAACACAACAAGCCAAGCTACTGTTGGATAATGACTGCAACTCATCTTTGTGTAGATTTATAGCTCAAATCTAGCAAGACATGCTTACTTACAAATGATGAAAAAATGGAACAGTCACAAAGGGAATTGACAACAGCTACATAAAGAAATGTGTATGTCTGTTGTATGTGTGTGTGTGTATATGAAGAGTTTGGTTCCAAAACGCTATAAATCCATTTAGATTTATTTGAGTAAAAATGTTTTTTCTTTACCAAGAAAGTGGCAAGATGAAAACCACTATTTTCTGTTTCAAACTTTCACATAGCATCTTTAGGTTATAATAATATTAAAAATTCAAATCCAGATTTTAATTTTAAAAGATTTATTATAAAATTGTATTATTTTTTTCCCAAAATGCAATAAATCCATGACACGTTTTTTTTTTCTCCCCAAAATGCAATAAATCAATTGAATCAATATAAAAGTTATTTTTCATATTGAAACGGTTGAAAATACACAACATAGTACGTTGATCCACATATGACAGCCTCTGAACTTGGTCAATACTAATCTTATATGTAGGCACTGGACTAAAATTCATTCAATCAGTCATCGCTCCTAAAATGAATTCAACGGGTCATCTTGTTAATGCTATAAATTAATTACAATAAAAGAAAATTTCATCATGAACATGCATGAACAACATCACATTATACCCCAGAAATTTTAAAATGACATTTCCCTTACATTCAACTTCCAAAAGTGCATTCATCTT